TTTCTAATGATCCCTTATATTTGGCTACATGTTGAATTTTAGTTCTGCAGCATTACATCTGTTTCTGCTGTGATATATCTTTGGTAATCACACTACCAATAATAGTGGAACTTTCCAGAAGGTGAGAAATTGGGAAGTGGAGGTGAGGTGTTAATCATTGTTATCTAAGAAGAATTTTATTGTGAGCGATAATCTCAAAGAATTCCCAGAAGTCAGAGATTTTCCTTTTGCTGGCTCCTTTTCAGACAATCAATCAAGTTTATTTGTGTAGCACGTTTCAGCAACAATGCAGTTAAAAGAGATTTACATCATAAAATCACAAAAATATAGTTATAAAAAAACAACATAATCTACAATTGAGAAAATCAGTATCAAACATTACATTTTGATGAGTGCCATCATCAGTACACATCAAATATGTTGGTCAATGTTCATTTTATTTGGCCACTGAAGACAAATATCCTCCTCTGATGCGCGACCAAATGGACAACTACCCATGAAGCAGCACGGCTCATCGCTTTTATTTTGAAAATCGACACGCAAAATGAAGCAGTCACGTGACCCATGCAACGTGAGGCATCGTTTGTTGCCAGTCACGTGGTTTTCAGCAATACAACACAAGCCTAGAAGCGGGGCTTTATCGGACACGCCCCCTTTTTACTCGGTACACGCCTCGAAGCCTGGCTTCAGATGGCCCATCACTACCCGATATTTATTAACTCTGGAACCCGGTTTTCTGGTCTTAGACACCGAATCTGAGTGGACGTCCAGCCTAAATGATTAAAAACTTCTGCAGAGCCACGTAAACTCTCCATGTTGAAGGAGGTTTTGTAATTTGGCCAATTAACACACCTGCTGTAGGCCGCTGGAGCTCCATATTTTGAAATCGCTGCGTTTTTTTTTTTTTTTGGTAAGTTATTTTTCGGAAACTTTATTTAAGTTGTTTGTTTTTTCCCCGACAAAGTTATTGAAGCCATTTTTTGTGTGTAAGCAGAGCAGCAGACAAGGAACGGCGGACCACGGCCTCTCAGTGGCGGTTCGTTTGGCAGCTGTGTCCACAAGACATTTGACGAGGAAAAAAGTGGCTGGAACCACCAGCAGATTGACATGGACACTGAGGTGATCAGCACAATCAAGCAGGGGGTCTCCCCCACTTCCCCTGACCATTAAAGGTAGGTCAAGCAACTGTTGCCATGGCGCCCAGAGGACGTCTCAAAGTAAGAGCTGTTGAAGGCCGAAGGCTTAGCTTTTGCTCTGCTGGTTTGTTTTGATTCTCTGCTGAGTCGCTGTGTTGAGAAGGATTCTGCTGTGTTGAAAATATTTTGTCTTGAGGTTTTTTGAGCAGTTTGTGGCTGCTTTGGTCACGTGACCTGTGGATTTTTTTTTTTTTAAATCAGCTATCATGTTGGAATCTGAAGTTCATGGTTGAAAAAAATGCTGTGACGTGAAAGAAAGATGGCTGCCGAGGCTTCCGCTATTTAAGAGGCAGAAGGAAGTTTTTCCAGGTCAGGCTTATAGTTCAGATCACTACAATAAACCTTGATAACATATCTACATACAAACTAAAGTATTTGAAACACAGAATACCCGTTTTTATTTTTACCATCTATTTGATCTGTACTCAATAGTATCATCTACTACGGTTATCAATGATGAAAACAAATTTTGTTTGTGTTAATCAGTTATTTAAATTGAAACGTGAGAACCGATTTATTTTTGTGCCAAAATAACACGCTGTTCATGAAACACCATTTCTTCTGCATGGCGTAGGCTAATGCAGAGATCTGCTGAAGCTGCAGGTCAGAGGTCACAGAGATGAGGTTTACACTGTCTGGCCCACTATCTGATTGATTTATTTACTTTTTTGTAGAATATAACCTTCTCAAACCGAAGTTAGTTGTGTTCTCCTCAAGGTTTCTTTAGAACCTGTTTTTACACCTCACTCCATTTAGAGAACATTAGAAACTATTGAAGGAAACCTAACATGGTGAAACGTTTGTCCTGCAGGGGGCGATCCTGAGCTGATGCTGCAGATAACTCCATGTTTCTCTTCTAGATAAAACTACTAGCTGACTTTGTGTTGCAGCTGAGTGCTTTTTTTTTTTTTTACCCCCTTCAGCCTTTACAATCAGCTGTGTTAAATTGTTTGTCGTAAAACAACCAAAGGAGCTTCTACTGCACTGAACTCCCTTAAATAGAAAGTACTTCTTCTACTGTTTCTTTTTCTCTGCTCTGTCCTGCCTCGGTTGCATTGGCAGACGGCCTCTCGTACTGAGTCAGCTTCTGGTTCTGCTGGAGGTTTCTTCCTGTCAAAAGGAAGTTTTTCCTCTCTACTGCCACTACATGCATCCTCAGTGTGAGGCATTGCTTTAGTTTACTTGGATTACTTTTAACCAACTTAAAAGGCAAATTATCTGCCTAGAAGCTTCGTTACATTATGTCTCACTGTTTAGCGCCGTGTTCTGGCCTGATGATGCCAAAGTGTTAACAAACGTCCTGCTGCTTTGTTATTTATGTTTGTTATATTTATTAAATTGAATATAATTTCAAGTTTTTATGTATATTTTTTTGTCTTGTCTAGATTGACGTTTGAATATAAAAACACAGTATTTTAATGAATTAAATATTTCTGTATATTTAATGTTAGCTTTGAGACATAAAGTCTTGCAAGTCAGATTTGACAAAAAAAACCCCAAAAACAAACAGTCCCTGCAAATAGTGTCTAAAAATGTTTATTTTTTAGAATTTTTGTTTGTATTTTTTCTGTTTGTTCTGTGTAACAGAATATGGGTCGCTAGTTTCTCTAAAAACTCGCTTTATTTAGCCAAGTTCACCACCAACGTTTCTTCCAAAGAAAGTGATGAATCATTAGTTATTATTGGTTGTTGCACATGAGGTTTTAAGTAAATCAATAAATTAAAGTCATCTTGCTCTATAGAGTTTAAACCGAGTCGTAGAATCAACATTTAAACAGATATAAGGCTCGTGGTTTGAAGGCTTGTGCTCTATATTCCCAGGTGTCGTATTTCTGTTGCTGTACAGATGTTTTCTGTTTTTCCTGACATGTTTTAAAGAAAAACGGCTGAAGAAAGCTAAGAGTTTTCTTTAGATATTTAAATTCATGTTAAATGCTATGAAGTTACAAAAATAATTTACCGTTTGGGGTAAATTATGCAGGGAATCTCTCTGTTATTTCATAGTTTACATAGAAATCCCATGGAAACAATTAATTTAAACACTCGGATATGATAAAGCTTTTGATTCCTGACAGTTTTCCTTTTTTTTTTTTTTTTTTCACACCTAATTTCTTTTAGAAATGTAACGAGATACGCGGTTTTTAAACGTTTTAAGACCTTTTCTCAAATGTCTTGGAGATCATAAACATCCTGTTGCCCAGTTTCTTTGGCTGACCTCATTCTGGGAGTCAGCTGGACTCTGCTCTGACCTCCTGGTCGACCTGTTGACCTGCTCCTGGGGTCATTCTGATTGGGTGACCACTGCTGGTTGTTTTGTGACACACACTGACCTATTGCTGTTATTTTATGTTTTTATTATAATTTTTTTCCCCTTTGAATATTTTTAAGGTTGCTGAGCCGATTAGAACATTTTCTGTTTAAATGATTTCTTTAGTCTGAATGTCTGGTAGAAATCAGACTTTAGGTTTTGATCGAAGTGAATCAAAATGTCCTTAATCAGTTGATTCATGTTTTAACAGGAGCCGTTATATTTCCACATAGAGCCAGGTTAGTTAAACATTTCATATTGAATATGATGATCTGAAACAATGAAGGTGCAAAAAAACACAATCTTACCAAATATTTTTGTCCAGTTTCCAGTGCAAATATCTTTGTACTTGAAATAAGACAAAACTAACTTACAAGTAACTTTTCAGCAAGTAGTTTAAGTCAATAATTTCTTAATACCAATGAAACAGTATTTCACTTAAAACAGTTTCCCTTGTTATAAGTGAAATAATCTGCCAATCTGAACTACTATGTTTTTTCATCAATATTAAAGAATTGATGAAAGTAACTAAGTTACTTGTAAATTAGTTTTGTCTTATTTCAAGTGAACATATATATATATATATATATATATATATATATATATATATATATATACTTGGTACAGATTTGGTTTTTTGTAGTGTGACAGAGAAGCAGAAACAGAAAAAATATTTTTCACACAACTAAACTCATTTAATTTGATCTCTGCAACAAATCTACACCCATCTCATTTTTCTACAAAATAAAACAAAACAAAACAAATTCTTTCAGCTCCAGGTCACAGCAAACAGCTGCTGTTAGTCGTTTTTCACATATTGACAGGTTCAGTTTTTAGCTTCAGTTGACACAGAAACTGAGTGTTTACCAGCTGTGTGTGTGTTTGTGCGCGCGCGCGTGTGTGTGTGTATATGTGGAGGTGTTTTTGCACAGATGCAGGTGCGATCGTAGAGCCGGATGCGGCGGTAAAGGTTGAAGGTCGTTTCTCAGCAGAGAGACGGCGCTGCAGGCCGCCATGCGACCGCATCCTGCCGCGCTCTGCTCCCCCGCAGCGGCTCTGACCTGCTTCTCTGCTCAACGTCGACTTCCTGTTCTCGCGCTCTTCCTCTCCTGCTAAAAATGCTTGAACTGCATCTTGGCGAAACCGAGAGTCTTGATCTGAAACTGAGATGTTTCACGTAGATGTAGAAAGAAAATGAGCTGGCTTCTCAGAAGGCAACTAAAAATATCTGACAGCATCTCTGGAAAAAGTGATGAAGGAGGAAAACGACGGTTACTGTCAGTATGAAGTTTTAATTTTTCTGCTTCCACATCTGATTAAAAACACTCAATTGTGTAATTTTGTGGTTTTAATACATATGAAAAAACAAGTTGACAGTCAGATGAAAACTTTTGAATCATTTCCCAAACAAAGTGCAGAAAAAAGATGAACAGCCATGACGTCAGGCATAATTTAAAACACTTTTATTGAAGATCATATGAAGAAAAACAAACACACTTATTTAGAAAGTATCTGGAAAAATACAATAATACACTGCAAAAATACAAAATCATAATTTTAGGTCTAGTATCTAGTGCAATTATCTAAACCGCCCCCCCCCAAAAAAAACTTGAAATAAAACTAAACTAATTTAAAAGTGACTTTTCAGCAATATATAGAAGCTTTTTCTAAGTCTTAATATTGGTGAAGTTCTAGTTCCATTGGCAGATTATTTTTACATGGAGAAAATGTCTCGTTATAAATTAATCTGTTAATGGAACTAGTTTATCCTCGGTAAAGGTTTATTGATTTAAAACAAACTAATATGTTGCTGAAAAGTCACTTGTAAGTTACTTTTGTCTTTCTTCAAGATATTTTCACTAGATACTAGACCAAAACCACTTGGTGAGATTTTGAGTTTTATCATTTCTGTAAAATAACATGAAATATCCAAAGATTATCTCGTCTGTGCAGAATAACAGCAGATCAGGTTTATTATGTACAAGGAGGAAGATTGAAAGCTTCAGCTCCGCTCTCACTTGGTCTGTTTTCCACGTTTTCTCTGAAAAAGATATTTAAAAAAAATCCCTCAGCATCAGAAGCTCAACTATCAGAACCAACATGGATGTTTCTGGACCGACCTGAAGCTTCCAGACCAGAAAGCAGACCAAGGCGGCGTAGAGGCAGCTCTTCAGGATCAGGACGGTGTAGGAAATTTTGGCGTTCTGGGTGATCTTTATGTAGCTCTCTGTAGGAAGTTCAGATGTTTACAGTGTAAACAATAAGAAGACTTTCTCAAAGCCAACAACCTGCTGCCAACTACGTTTTCTGTGCTTTTAAGAGTGAAATGTTGCAGTTTACCTCGAGTGATGACTGGGTAATCTATGCCTTTTGCTGGAGGAATAAAGAGAAGGGACATCATTAGGAGTATAGCTACAAGGAGCAGTTTAGGATATTTGTTTCGGAAATGAACGTACTTGTATAAGTTGTATTCTTTTTGATGTTACTTTTCCCATTAAAGAAGCTGACAGTGCACGTAAAATTAATGTTTGGCTCAACCCAATCCTTAATGGGTACCATCAGCCTGCTGGTGATTTTGTAATTTTTTCCATCCTTCTTGGCGGTGGCGGCGGCGTCAGTGGACACTTGGATATCATCAGTTATGTTCTGGCCATTGCGCGTCCAGGACACGCTGACATGATCGGGGTAGAAATCAGAGGCCACACAGACCAGGGTCTTCTTCTTCTTCCCTTTCTTGTCTTTGCATTCTTTTTTTGAAGGTTCTAGAATTTTCACAGTCGGGGGCTGGACTTCAGCATCTGGATTTGAAAGAAGAGATAAAAACAATTCATTCAGTCAAAACTCCTTCACCCAAATTTGAACATCTGGACACGTGAATGTATGGAAGTATATGTATTTCTTTGGTGTTATCGATTTTAAATGTTAATAAACCTTCAAGAATATAGTTTATAACATGTTGGCTATCATGTGCTGATCATAGACCCAACGAGGGAGTCCCACCAAGAAGTTCTTGTTCCTAAGAAAATGCTAAATTTCGACCGTCTCCTCTGGCCTTGTGTGTTTAGAACGAGTGTGAAAAGTTGCAAAAAGTTTGGACCAAAAAAAAAGAAAAGTCATCAGTCAAATTAGCATAGTCCCAAAATACATGAATGTGAAAAGATGTTTCAGATTATTTAATTTTAAGAAATACTTCTTGAATGGAGGGAAAGCTGTAATATTTGGACAGTTTAACAGGTTTTATTATTACATTGTGGTAAAACCGACCCTTTAAGGACATTTATGGATTTGATGGCGGCTGAAATGAAAATGAGTTTGATACGTTCCTGCTTTACATGATTATTAAGTGTGACTTAACCAAACATGTTTTACTTTAATTATCGGGTTTTTCTTCACTAGTTTAAATCAACCTCATTTGCCAACAGTACGACATAAATAGACTTTTACACTGAGGCTGAAAACAAAGACCGTCTTTTCTAGTAGTTACATTTATTCTGCAATTATCCTACTAAATATAACATCAATTAACAAGCAGCAAACCCAAGTAAAAACATTCTAAACTCATATTGGTTTTTACATTCTGGCGTTCTGATCTGAAACTTGACGATAATTATGAACGTTTGGTCAGTGTTGCCAATATAATTCCTGAATTTTACTTTGACTTTCAACGTTTATGTCTATTCTAAATCTTGAAAGAAAACATAAAATATATTTTAGAAACAAAAAATTCTTACGAAGTATTTTTGGTCTAGTTTCTAGTGCAAACATCTTAGTAGACTTGAGATAAGACAAAACTATCTTACAAGTAACTTTTCAGCAAGATATAGAAGTTTGTTACAAGTTAAAATTCCTTAATATTGATAAAAAAAAGTTTTAGTTTCATTGGCAGATTATTTAACTTGGTATAAGTGAAATTAGCTGTAATATTAATATTTTCCATTAATATTAAAGCAAGCTCTTATATCTTACTGTAAAGTGACTCTTTAGTCAGTGCACCAGAACTTTTCACCATGTTGGACCAAAACTACTTGGCAAGGTTTTGTTTTTTTCAGTGTAAAGTTAAAAAATGAGAAGTTTTGGATGTGCAGAGATAAAAGTAAGCAAGTTGACTACCTCTACATTCTTCAGTAGAAAAATCCCAGAATTATGATATTATTATTTTACACAGTCAGCACATTAAATCAATGGTTACATCAATTTAATTATATATCTCAGAAGCTCTTACCCAGGACTGTCAGCTTGGTTCCTTCTCCGAACTCAGCAGGGTATGAGCTCGAGCACAACGCTCAGCCGCAACAACAAAACCCGACTCAGATCTACCAGGTCTACCGTTCTCTATAACTTAATGTTTCAACAACACAATTCCTTTATTTTAGCTGGTTAGTTATCTACTATACAGATTATAGTCACTAAAAGTTGAAAACATATGCTTTTTAGTTTCTCAACTTTCCAAATATTTAAAGTTCTCAACCAGCTTTATTTCCTCAGATCAGATATTAGCTGATCTATATTCTAACAAATTACTTGACCTCAAAGCAGTAAACCTAGCAGTTTTTAAAAAAAGTAAATTTTGTAAAGAAATAAGTTGTTGATTTTCTTTGTTTTCTTACCTAAAACTGTGAGTTTGGTGCCTCTGCCAAAGTAAGCAGGTTCATAGTTCGTCACACTGAGAAACAGCTGCAGGAAAAGCTGCTGCTATTGAAAACTAGAGGCTGCTTTTTACATTAGAAAATTATTGGCAAAGGAGACAGACTGCTGGCTATTTTGGAGAAAAAACACAACTCCAATATTGACAGATTTTTTCCCGTTTTGCAGTCTTACCTAAAACGGTGAGTTTAGTTCCAGCTCCAAAATAAGCAGGATTGAAGTCGTTCACACTGATAAACAGCTGCAGGAAAAGCTGCTGGAAGCTGCTGCTGTCTTTAACGTCTTTTACACATGAACTAAACGACTTCTGTAGCAAAACTAAACCAAAAACTAATTCTTTCACCAACTCCTGTTAGTTTTTATTCTTTTTTGTTTTTTACATCTACACTAGAGCCGAAGATTGAATTCGTTTTTACGTTTATATATATATATTTATAACTTCCAAACCAATTTTCCATTACATCTGATCTTCTAGGTTGATTTATTGTGAATATTTTTTGTGTTTCTTACCTAAAACGGTGAGTTTAGTTCCAGCTCCAAAGTAAGCTTCAGACTGGGAGTCACAGTGTTTAACCGCGGTGATGAGAACCGACTGACGGGGTAATAATCTGGGCTTTGAGCCAAACATTTAATAGCTCCTCAACTTTGACTGCAGGACATTTGACATAATGTCTTTTACACTTCAGAAAAAGCTCAGTTGATGCTTCATATATCCTAAATGATGTCGGAGCTCTTTCCAGCTTCTATTTTAGTTTTTTCTTACCTAAAACGGTGAGTTTAGTTCCAGCTCCAAAGTAAGCTTCATTGCCAAAGGAGCACAGAGACTCTGGACTGCGACACAAACTCTCTGCTGCTCAGCTAGCTACAAAACCTTCCCAACTTCTCCTGTGACCTTTAAGACTTTTTCAGTCACAATCTCAATGTTTTTTGAATTTTTGCCAACACTTTTGGCCAAGTTATTTGCCCTGGCGAAGCATCCTAACAACTTTCTTACTATTTTTTGAGGGTCTTTTAGCACCAATCCAGCTGTAAATCATGTCGTATTACTTAATAATTTAGATTTTGAAACATTTCTTACCTAAAACGGTGAGTTTAGTTCCAGCTCCAAAATAAGCTTCGCTGCCCAAGGAGCACAGAGACTCCAGTCTGCGACACAAACTCTCTACTGCTCAGCTAGTTACAAAACCTTCCCAACTTCTCCTGTGACCTTAAAAACTTTTTCTGTCACAATCTCAATGTTTTTTGAATTTTTGCCAACACTTTTAGGCCAAGTTATTTGCCCTGGCGAAGCATCCTAATAACTTTCATACTATTTTTGGGGGGTCTTGTAGCACCAGTCCTGCTGTAAATCATGTCATATTATTTAATAATCAATATTTTGAAACGTTTCTTACCTAAAACAGTCAGTTTGGTTCCTCCACCAAAGTAAGCTTCAGACGTACTGACCACAGTGAGCAGGATCAGTGCTCACAACCTGCTTTCCTCTGCTTCTCCTGTCAACTAAATTCTCACCAAGTTAAATGTTCCTTTTAAAACTAGCAAATGTTACATAACAAAACCTCACAAAACCTCAGAAATGTCCCTTCTTGAGTCATGAAATGAGCTTCTTTCTGATACAGTTTAGGTTAATTGGTTAAAGTCTGAGCCATTTTTGTCATTCTTGCTGTTTTTGAGTCAATTTCTTACCTAAAACCGTTAACTTTGTCCCCGCTCCGAAGTAAGCTTCAGCTCCACCACCAGAGTCACAGTGAGACCCATCAGTGCCCAAAACAACCTCAGCTTCTTCTTTCCTTTTGCTGCATTACTTTTTTAGTTATTTTTTGGTGTTTTTTCTATCTTAGACTGCTCTTTGTGTTGCCACGATGCAAACATTTGACTTTTTTTTTTTTTTAAACTTGTATTTAATTTCAAATAAAGCTAAACATTTTTCAGTTTAGTAAAACTGCTTTAGCTGCTTTCACAGGGATCAGATTTCACAGTTTTACTCACCTAAAACAGTCAGTTTTGTTCCCTGGCCGAAGTAAGCTTCATAGTTGGCACAGCGGTTAAAGTTCAGAGCAAAAAGTTGGAGCTCAGGCAGCGAGCAGCTCAACTTTCACTGGAAATCTTTTTGGATTTGCTCTTATTTTTAAAGGTTTTATAAAAACATGTCTGAATAACATTTATATTTTCATATCTCTTACCTAAAACTGTTAACTTTGTTCCTCCTCCGAAGTAAGCTTCATAAGCACCAGTGGCACAGTGAACAGATTCAATGTGTAAAACACTCCAACATGCAGCTTTATATTTCATATCCTTGTCCTATTATTAGTCGATTTTCCTCAGAAATAGTTAAAAGGTTGCAGATTTTAGCCTGAGGATCTAAAACCATTCCCCGATACATCAGTTTGGCCCTCAAATTTACTTTGTTTAAACCTTTACTCACCCAGAACAGTCAGCTTTGTTCCCTGGCCGAAATAAGCTTCTCTGTTATCACAGAGCTTCAGCTTCATATCAAAAAGTACCGAGCTGGACTCTGACTAGAAAGACCTGCTTACTTGCTGCTTGTTCAAGCACCTTTACGGCTTAAAATTTGGTTCATTTTTGCAAACTGTACTCACCTAAAACTGTTAGTTTTGTTCCTTTTCCAAAGTAAGCTTCGTTGAGGTTGTCACAGTGCAGCAATACTCAACAAATACCTCTTTAACCGTAATATTTATGTTCAAATGACTTTAACACAACATCAACCTCAAGGCTTGATTAAGTGTAATCTGTTAGATTTCAGTATTGAAGCGAAATATTTACCTAAAACTGTGAGTTTGGTTCCTTTTCCAAAGTAAGCAGGATCTCCGTAGTTCACAGTGATTTGACTTCAGCCCAATAAGCCAAAACGTTTGACTTCACCAAATTTTACTTTATTTTAAGAATTATTTTAGTTTAAATCTGATCAGATGAACTGGATGTGTGAAGAGTTAAACTTACCTAAAACTGTGAGTTTGGTTCCTTGACCAAAGTAAGCTTCAGCATTGTCACAGTGCAGTGATACTGAACATGAACCTGTTTTTCTATCAGAATTAACTTTACAAAGACTCGTCTGTCTGTACAGAGGTCCTAATCAAAGTATTATGCATTAAAACTCTGTAATAAAGTGAATATTTACCTAAAACTGTCAGTTTGGTTCCTTGACCGAAGTAAGCAGGATCAGTGTAGGTCACAGTGATTCAACTTCAGGTTAATACAGCCAAACTTTTAAACTCTAAAGAACTTTTCTTTACTCTCATCTGACCTTTGCATTAATTTTAAATCTGATCTAAACCTGGACATGTGAGAATCCAACTTACCTAAAACTGTGAGTTTGGTTCCTTTTCCAAAGTAAGCAGGATTTCCGTAGTTCACAGTGTTTTGAGTTTGACTCAATATGTCAAAACGTTTAAGCTCAACAACTTTTTTATTTTACTTCAGTTTAAGAATTACTTGAGCTTAAATCTGATCTAAACCTGAACATGTGTGAAATCCAACTTACCTAAAACTGTAAGTTTGGTTCCTTTTCCAAAGTAAGCTTCGTTTCCAGTGTCACACTGAATCTCTCCTGGACCAAAAAGTCCCCAAACTTTCCATAATCTTCTCCCTCAGACCGGCTGTAATAACCCAGATCATCAGGAAGGTTAAACCTGCAGGATGAGCTTCATAACGTTTAAAGAAGTTGTGATTTCTGACCCTGAGGAACACATGACCTGATGGCTCCATGTATAAACTCAAACATGTGTTAATAAAAGCTGTTTCTGGTTCATTTTCTACATATTAAAGTGTTTCTTAAAGCCTGGCTGAGCCTCCACTCTGCCCACCTCCACCTGCTTCCTGCTGCTGCTCTCTGTGCTGCACTCAGCCGTCCACATGATGGATGTTAATGCGAGGAGGTTTTTGTACGGCGGCTCTATAGGATTGTATCACCGTGGCCCCCTGTCCCCACGGTGGAAAAGCATCACACAAAAACCTGCTGCCTCCGTCTCTCCCCGCTCTCCGCCCCCCCCAGCCAGCCTCTCCGTATCTCAGCCTCCATCTGAGTCTCTGTGGGAGCAGCTGTGGAGGTCGGGCCGACTTGACGCTGGAGCAGCTCCAAGCTGCCTGCTGCTATTTCTGGGTCGGCTAAGAAAAGAAGGCAGAGCAGAGGACAGGAAGCTGCTGGCTGCTTTTGTTTGTTTGGAGGTGTAAACAGGAAGTGACACGTCAGCTGGTCATGACTCTGCAGCCAATCAGTCAGCAGAGAGAACATCAACTGATGTGTGTTTTTGAGTTTAAGGTTGTTGGATTATCAAAGGATAAAGTTGGCAATGACACAGAAACGATGTTTTCAGAGGCTGAATGAAACTTTTTCAAAGTTAACATTAGGTCTTCTATATGAGGCTTTCTGTAGCGTTGCATGTCTACAGAAGTTTTGTCCGTCCTTCTTTGCAAAATAGCTCAAACTCGGTCCGAGTTTGAGCCCACTCCCAGTCAAAAGCTCTGAGCTTTAACTGGGCCAATCAGACACAAGAATATGCAACATAAACATGTTTGTAGTTCTTCCTGTACTAGAGGGTAAAAGTTTTGCAGCCTCCACATTTCCTACCAGGACTGAATTCATAAACTTCTCCTCAAGTTCTGTCAAAGTAAACCACTGATCCAACAAACTGAACATGTGAGAAGTTCAACTTACCTGAAACTGTGGACTTTGTTCCTTTTCTAAAGTACGCTTGACTTGCATTTGGTAAAGTATCATCTTTATTTATAACTGATTTTCTGAAGCCTCCAACATTCGTCACAGATTGTTGTGCAGTGCCACATGTAACATTTTGTATGAATGATTTGAAGTAAAATTTTAGTCTCTTAAGACCAAGGCATATCCTTCCTTTATTTGTCCTCCATGATACACAACTTGTGGCAAAATGACTACAAAACTTTGTTTGTGTTTATTTTATTACCATTTTTCTGTAAAGACCTTATTTGTAGAGTGGATGGTTGTCATAGCAACAGATTATCTCATCTGAGCTGTGGATACGTTTTTACTGAAGGTTGAAGTTCTTAAAATTTGTTCATTGTTACTTTGTGGCCATAATTTTATTTTAAGATTAGTTGTCATAATAGAATCCATTTTTCTGCATATTTTGAAAATCGAACTCATGGTATAATAGTTGGAAGTTAAAGTTGTATTTTTCACACATGGCCAGTAGAGGTCAGTATAAGATGAGAATTGTAATTGAAATTTCCTCATCTCAATGGGAATACAGGATTAAGGAAAAACAAGAGGCAGACATGAGGAGCGATTCAGGATCATATTACAGAGTAGGAAAACTGAACTCTGCTGCCAGCTGCTCCCTGATCAGTTTGTGGCTTCGAGTAAATAAGACAGAAGGAGGTTTGATCCTGTGATCCCAGAGATGTAGGGAACTTTTCAAAAGTGCAGGAACATGAGTTGACTGGGAAAGGTTTGTGGTGAAGGATCACATCATATAATAGCTCAACACATGTAGATACGTTACCTGAAATGCAGTTTTTTGAAAACTCATCTACAGATTATTAGGCTTCAAAACCGAATTAATATGTTTTCTTGTTTTATTAAATCCTACTGCAAGGTGTCCAAAGGTTTTGGCCTATTAGGGCCAAAAATGTCAAATTGAGAGGAGAGCCACATTTATTGCTTAAGACAATTGTTGTTATTATGCATTAAATTAATAAATAGACAACTTAAATACATTTAATAATCTATATAGACAATATTTTAATAAAGTGGCTTTTTTTTGTAGAAAATGAATCTGTAAATCATTGATTTAAAAAAATATGAGCAGGATCTTTGACATTTGTTTTAAATGCTGTTTTTATTTTTTCGACTTTTATAATTAAACAAAAATACTTCGTCTTGTACCTAAATAAATATGTTTTAAGAAGATTTGATATGTAAAAAAATCAGGAATTAATCATGAATTCACGGATATGAATTTGGACGTCCTAGTCCTATAGTTTTGTAATTACTCTCATTTCCTGGAATACTTTGACTTGTTCGCTGTGATTGGCTCTTTTTCATCTAAGGCAGGGGTGCCCAAGTCCAGTCCTCTAGAGCTGCCATCTTGCAACTTTCAGATGCATCCCTGCTTCAACACACCTGAATCAAATGACTGGCTCGTTATCAGGCCTCTGTAGAGCTGATCCCAGTCTGTTGGAGTAAGGATACTTCTAAAACTTGCAGGATGGTAGCTCTCGAGGACTGGACTTGGGCACCCCTGATCTAAGGACTATGCTGCTTGGATGAAAGCTGTCACTTCCATTGTAGTTGCTTTCTAGTTGGTAACGTACTTTGCGTATGAAAGACAAGTAAAATTTCACACCTTTTGGGCCTTCTTGGTGTTCCATATGTAATGAGGAGGAACATCGGAGTTTAGGTGTGAAGGCGCGCACACACACACACTTGTAGGGTTTATTCTACGCATGCATAATGGCGGATAACTTTGTGCTGCTTAACTTGTTCATTTTAAAAGTTTCTGATGAGGTATGTGTACGATGAGCGTTTCCTTCATAGGAGATGGAGCCGGGTTACCTGAGGTGGAAGCAAAGCCTTTGATGACACGCTACAGTCACAGTGTCATCTAGTGGCCTGGCGTGACAACTACAGCTGACTCAGCGTTACGCCATTACTGTTTAAATATGAAACGTTTCCTTACAGGCAGGTTCCAGGCAGCAGTCTTGTGTGAATATAACCATAGATGTGAATTTAGCGTTCCAGTATAAAGATATAATTACTCAACACCACAAATTGTCTGTTTATAAAGATATATTCGCTCACATCAGTTTCGGCGCACACTCATACCGCTGACAAAAAGGAAAGCAGGTTTTGAGCAAAACTTTATGAAAAGTGAGGATGTTAACCATCCCACCACAAAAGAGTGCAACATCCATACATAATTCTGAGTTTCTAAAAGTTTACTTTGTTTCAAAACGTACCTCGTGTCACAGTCTCATATTGAAGTTTTTCAGTGTTTCCCTCCCTACTCTTGTTTCCTCCTCCTGAGGTTGTTGTTAGGCGGCTCAGGCAGCCTGAAGCACTGTGCTAGACTGGAAGCACAGTAATACACAGCAGAGTCTGCAGCCTCAGGAGAGTGGATCTGCAGGGAGGTTCTGAGCACTTCTGGACGGGTCAAGGTGTATTTGGTCTTGCTGAAAGGAGCTTCAATGGCCGCGGCGTCTTTACCTACTGAATAAGCAACCAGCTCCATTTTCCCACTGTCTGCCGGGTGTCTGTACCAGAACATGTAGTAATTCTGATTATTGTCCTGGTCGCACCAGAGGGTGACGCTCTGATCGCCGACTTTGACGAACACAGATGGAAGCTGCTGGAAGTTCACAGCAGAAAGTGAGAAGCCTAGAAAACAAAGCAAAAAACACGATAAAGTGTTATTTTTTTAAATAATAAAAAAAAAAGCAAATATGGTTCCTTCCTCCTAGAGTGGTTTTCTTACCAGGCAAGAATAAAACTGCAATCAAAACCAAATTCATTTCTGGACTAAATTTGCTGGTTTAACTTGTGAAACAAAAAGGTGACAGGAGATGATCTGACCC